TACCATTTTCCTGTTTCCCAATATGAATTCCCCAGTTGCACCATCCAATGATCTCTCACTCATTTTAGCTACTCTCTTTTTATATTCCGGTACAGTTTGTTTTTATATTTCTTGTCAAGTTACCTTCATAATCAATTATCTCCCTCTTTATCACCTTTTTGGGCACCTACTGCTGGTTCCTTTTGAAAAAAAAATGTTATCAATTCTCTGGTTTGCCATTAATCTTCGCCACCGTGCATGTCTTAGTGTTTGAAAAGATACACTTCTTAATCACTTTTGAAATCCATGGTTGGTTCATCCTTCTTGTGGAATGGAATAAACTTTTACTAAGAATTATGAAATATCAGCATTCTGTCTGGCCCTGCTGATTCTCTTTTTTCCCAGCTCACTTCTGACAACTCATCTTTCAGTCCTCTGTAATTGCCTTTGTTTACGTTTTGGACACTGTTTTTAGAACTGCGTTGCTCTCCCTCAAATGAAATTTGAAATCCTATAATGTTGCGATTGCTATTCCCTAGAGGGCACTTAAACAATAGATCTGTTAATAATCCTACCTCACTGCAAATTACTAGATCTAAAATAGCTTCTTCCTGGGTAGGTTCTGCAATGTACTGCCCTAAGAAACTCGACAAGATGGAATACTGTGTCTCTATCTGGATGAGTGCAACTCCAAAAGCACTTAAAATTGACATCATCCAGGACTGATGGCAGGTAGATTACTTGGCACCACTTCCACAAACATTCACTCCCTCCACCACTGACACTCAGTAGCAGCAGTGTGTACTATCCACAGTATGCATTGTAATACCTCACGAAAGACCCCTTAGACAGCACCTGCCAAACTGGTGACCTCCACTTCCTGGAAGATCCAAGGCAGAAGACAAATGGGAATACCATCAGCTACATATTCCTCTACAAGCTATGCACCATCTTAACTTTGAATTAAGTCATCATCCCTTCATTGTTGCTGGGCCAAAATCATGGAACTCTCTACCTGATAGAATTTTAAGAGTACTCTCCTGCCCTCAACGTCATGAAGGTGGCTCACCACCACCACCTTCTGTGCCTTGACGGATGTGCAATAAATGCCAGGAACGTACACGTCCCATGAACAAGGCATCAAAACAATTCAAGTTGCAAAACTAAACGGTGTGGGCTACCAATTGCACAAATTTATATCGGAGTACAGTGAAGGATGTGTATTCTGGCAGAATTGCATTGAAGTCTCTTTGATATTGCACTGACTATTTATCAATTTCATGGGGCATTCCTTTGCAAGAATTACTAATGGATTATGGAGGACAATGAATTGAGTAAAATTCTTTAGTTAGTGACATTCGTTTTCCATTTCCTTAGTATATCATCTTCAGCTTGTACTGCTGTGTTCTCTCCCTCTTTCCTCAGTGATTTTTGAATTGAGCTCCCAGGATTAGAGACTTGTATCTAAGTGGAGCTGTGGCTTATCCACTCCGGTTGGATTGATCTTCAGACTATCTTGTCAAGAAAAATGCACTGAGCTTTGCATTCTTGTCATTTATTAATGTTACCTAGTAAAGTAATACACCTGGCTTCCTATTTTAGCAGTCAGGCATAATTTCATTTGTTCCAAAGGCACTGAATATGAGCCATTCCAGGCAGCATATACACTGTGTTTGTGTTAATTTTGCCATCCTTGTGTGTATGTACCTCGTGGAAATCGATGGAAACCTCGACAATGGACAGTGTTCCTTTGGGATTTGTTTTTGTTCGTTACTTTGCTAAATTTGCTTGAGCGGAGTAAGCAGATATAAGATAAAATAAACACTATGACATCTCAACACAACTAGTCTTTCTTTTTGTTTGCTTATTGGACGTGAGTTCAGTTATGTTTTGCCCCTTGGTCCTTCATCTAACATGGACAAGTACAGCCAGTCGGACATTTGCCATCATCAGCACTCGCTAATGTGCCTTTCTGAAGTGGCACCTTAAACTGTATGCTGAATAAAACATTAACTTCCTCACCCAGCCCTTGCCCTGACGCAATTCGAAATTCGCAGCTTTATTGACAGAAAATGGTTACCAACCCACTTTTATCGTAAGGCGAAAGATTGACTATTATTGTGTCCAGATTAAATGAGAAAGTAATGTTACCCTGCTTGATTGCATTGTAATTGGTCAGAGTTATGTACAGGTGCATTTCGTAATATTTTCAGTAAATTAATTTTTTTTTCTCTTTGCCTTTTATTGACGTATGTTTAAATGCCCATTAGGGCTTCCTTTTTTACTGTGGAAATTGCAGCATGTTAATTTTCACACAAATTACAGCAATAGCAGGTATCTCTATTTGATATATTGTAACAGGAGCAATCAAAGATAATTGAGTGCCTTTCAGATGGAAACTGGTGCATTCACTTCAATTCAAAGCGAGTCCATTTATCGCCTAATCGGTCTTTAAACAGTAAATTTCTGGAACAAAAATTCTTGTCATAATTTTGCTTAAGTGTATTTGGAAATCACAGTC